TCTGATTTCTTAACGAACATCAAAAGCCTCTGTTATCAGGATTTTTGTGAGTCCTACACCGGGGTGCAGCGGGAAATGCAGTATTAATTTACTAAATTTCTTGTTTAGAGATAGATATTTAAGGAAGAAGAACGATCCATAGAACGCAGCTGTATTATTCAAATCTTTCGGACCCCCTATAGAAGCCCTGATAGCATCGTAATATAATGCAATGCTATCAGGGTACACCAAATGGTTATATTTCACAGTACAGTTAAAAGTGACAGTCTTCAAAATACTAGTTAAAGTGAAGTGTAGCAAATGATAGCGATGACAAATCAAAGATTTGTTCTGCTTAATTCTTTATGCAGTATGAATAGAGGAGATATAAGCAGCGCCCTGAACGTGATAAAATAATACAGGAAAAGATGCCAGAACGACCAATTACACTTACCCGCTTGCAATCTCATCATAAGGTTTCTCAAGCTCGGTTTCGCCTACTGTTCAGTAACTAATGTAAATGAATGACTACATACTCGGGGTTCCGAGTATTTGAGGCAGACAGATTTCACAGCAATGGAATCCCATTCCACATATATTTTCGTAGGCACTCAGACAATGTTTGCTAAACAAGGCGCTTAATGGAGATGTGTAAAAGTCTGTGGTAGAGACGGGAGAGCTTAGAAAGTCAAAAATGATCACGAAAGGTAGGCATGAGATATTGAACAAAGCAGTGTTAATGAGTGACAGAAGATGTAAAAACTATGCAGGTTTGTTAATACAGTAGCCTCTGGAAAGTATATTAATTTCTTCCAGAAACGTGGAAAATCATGTGCCAGTGATCGAAAGCACAAAATGCAAAAGAGAACACTAGGAACCAACAATAACAGAAAATAGCAAGAAGACAGAAACCTTTTTTTTCTGTTTTCATTTAGATACATTACTTTCACTTCACTACTATTCCGTTGTCACTCTTATTGAGTGACTGGTCCATGATAAAAAAAAACTGTCTGCGACTTCTATTGTCTTTTCCTCTGTTGCGATCAGCAACATGTGAATATACAATAATTTACCGTCATGCAGTGGGCAAGCGGGCTTAATGGTTGCTCGAAACTCTTGTTTACGTCTAGAAACTAAGTCCCATCAACAAGATCGCCTTTGCACTCAGCACTATGTACCATGTACGCCATAAAGCTAGCGTTTCTATGTCTATCTGGTACAACCACATCTCAGAGAATGTTTATGAGAGAATACTGTGCATGTATTAATTTCAGAAACTAATGAAATTATGATTGCTTTTCCGCGTCCAGTGCAATTCCTTTGAGGCGAGCTACATCAGGAATATTGGGAAGGGACTGCAGACCCGCATAAGTGGGCGCGCAAGGGCAGTGAGATGGATGGATCAACTCTCGTTGAGGGTGGAAGCAGCGGTTTCGAAAATGCACACTAAACTACAGATTCTGCAGTAAATGTGGTTTTGGAGGTCTTCAACGGCAGTCCTCCAGTCTTCATCATGTC